CGAGTGGTAGATCGTGACGGGCATGTAGAGGTTGTAGGTCGCGTGCCCAGCTGACAGACACACACGCAAATTAGATGGATGGACAGAGCCTTATGTAGACCGCACAATCAAGTACCGTACCCGGGAGGCTGACGTCGATGCCGCCGCCCTGGCAGTGGGCGGCCCCTGCAGACAAAGACACAGGCACTCTGTGAACATGCACGCACAATGGACGCAGACAGGCACCTCTTTGCCTCTTTGGTTCTGAAACCGCCATCGATTCCACACACTTGCACCGCTGTCGTCTCCCCGGCTGGCATACACACGCATACACACATTCGAGATGAATGGGTGTGTCCATGCCATGCGCACTAACCTGAAGCTGTTCAGCGCGCTGTGCAACAGGGCCACGCCGAGCCCTCGTGTGAACGATGAGAACAGTGGCATGACTGACCTGCAGACACACGCACAAAAACACGAACAACAGCGTATGTGCGCCTCGCCACTCATCCATGCCCATGAGCAGATCTATTCTTCTCATCGCGCTCACCCTCATCTACGTGGAAGTCGGAACTCGCCTTTCGTGCAGATCCTCGTTCGTAGCTTGGCCTTTACTTGGCAAGCGACGCACAAACCTGCGCTGCGACGGGAAGAATGGCGCACGCACGTCGTCGATGATGATGTCCCCTTAGAGCAGTCTGCGCAGTGTGGGTTGGTGGCGATGTGTCGCCCCTCGTGACGGAAGACATGCCCTGAAGCGATCTCCGCACCAGACGTCCCACGCCCGGCCCCCCTCAGGCACGTAGATGTCTGGTGAGAGGAAGATGTAGACATCGCGAGGCCGTCGAAGACCGAGTAGCCGTCGCTGGTTTGGGCGAGCGCCGATAAAGAGGATTCGCTCCGCGAGCGGAAGAGCCCATCCTGCCCCATCCCATGATCCCAGGAGCGCGGGCCCAGGCGCACCGTGTGGTCGATGTGGTTCAAGTTCCTCATGGGCTGCTGCTGCTGCAAGTGCCATGCCGGGCTGCTACTGCTGGAGGGATGCTGCTGCTGCGAGTGCACTGATGGCAGCACGGCAGACGGTGGCGAGGGAGCCTGCGGCGGCAGCAGACAGCACGGCAAATGGAGCTACCACACAGAAACACACAGAAACACACACGTGCAGACACTCAGCTACCGTATTATCCAAGAGAGCGGTAGTGTGGTTCACTTACGTGTATCAACAGCCATGGCGGCGTCTTCCTCCCCCATTGCTGCGGCCACGGATCCCCCCTGCCCCTGCTGCTGGTGGACGGATGCTGCTGCTGCTGCTCCTGGGGCGATCCACTGCTCTCAGGGCCAGCACCCGCTGCGCTGCTGTGCACCTCAGCCCCGAACAGCCGGTTGAAGTCCGAATGGCAGACATGGTACCTTGGGGGCAGACAGTCAGGGCAGTTGCAGAGCTCGAATGCGCCTACCGTCTTGACTGTCTGCAGCATCAAAACGCATGGCTACATGAACACTTGTCCGCATCATCTCCATTTCTGCATCGCCCCGCCACTGGCAGTCGACTGGGGCATGGTCAGAATGTTGAGGTGAATGTAGTTCTTGACATGATGTCATTCCTCGGTACGAGAAGAGAAGGTCCACGTGATCTCGACGTTGCTGAAGCCTCTCCTCGATGTCAGACTCCTCGATGAGTTGGAGACGTTGCACCGCTCGGCCGGGAAGAGGGCCTTCACGCGACGGGCAACGACTTCAACTCTCCGCTCAGGTTTGGATGGAAGGAAAGAAAAGCTCTCTCATGGGTGGCAATGCAACTGTGGTGGGGTGCAGCTGTGGCCTCATGCTCTGGCAGACGAGGGCTGCATCAACGGGAAAGGAAGAGTCTTGAGGTCTTTTTTCATCAGGGACAGGTGTCTCGTCAAACCCTTAATCGACCGACCGACCGACGGAGGCAAGAACAGAATGGCATCGTCGGCATGTAAGAGGTCTTGCTCGTGTGTGCATATGCCGACACAGATCTGACTTGACTTTGACTGACGTCGGTTTGTTCTGGTCATGGCGTCGTCTCCCAAAGCAGCAGCCACGGGCGAGGAGGTCAACGGCGGCATCAAGGAGGCAGCAACGGACGATGTGAACGCTAACGCCACAACAGGTGAGAAAGCGGCTTATCTCATTCTTGCAGGCACCCAGAGATGAGATCTCCCGTCCACGTGGATGCGTCTATGTCCGCAGATGTGCCGCCAGCGAGTGGTGAGGTGGAGCCTGAGGGCGAGTGCGTGGCCGTGGCGCCCACACAGCCCACACACGAACCCTTCTCGCTCAACGGTAGGTCTGCAGCCAGACTGGTGTGCCATCCGGCCACTATGAATGTGTGTGTGGTGCAGTGTTGGAGGTGTGTCGTCAGCAGCAGCAGCAGAACGGTCTGCGTCACAACGACTACCACCGCTACAGACAGTACTGCGCCAGGCGACTGAAACGAATCAGATCTTCGCTCAAGTTCAAACACGGACGATCACGGTGAGGCTCATGCCGCCCCCAGACACACACACAGGGCAGCCACGTGCATCCATATGGTGTGGTTGTAGGTATGTTGCCAAGGCGATTCCTGCTGACTTCAGCGACGACCGGTACCCATACACACACACTCACACACACACACGCAGAGAGAGAGAGCATGGGCAAACAGATGTGTACGCCCATCCGTGTGACTGTGTGTGTGTATGTGTGTGCAGGTTCCTGCTGCTGCCGTTGGTGAATGCGGAGCGTGCGTGGAGCTATGCCGTGCAGCTCAAGGCCACCAACGCCGCCGCTGAACAGCTGGTACACACACGCTGTGGTGTGTGTGTGTGTGTGTGTGTTGGTATACATTCACACGACTGCTTACATTTGGTGTGTCCTCAGAACCCTCGCGCGCGGCTCCACTCAATCCGGCGATTTGCAAAGGTAGGTCGGTCGGTGGGTCTAGCCTTTTGTGTGTGTGTGTGAGTGATATTGTGGCGTATTATTATCAGGCTGTGAGTTGGGCGAAGCGTCTGGAGCAGATGTGCGGCATCCACTGCGACAAGAAGACGTGCATCGACGCGCAGGCCTACAGGTGCTGGATGCAGGGCGAGTACCACCTGGAGAGGGAAGAGTGGCAGGTAGAGCCAGACACACACACACACGCACACACACACACAAGTCACGTGTGGACGCTTGTGTGTCTGTGTGTGCAATCAGGATGCGGTGGATGGCTTCGGGCAGGCGAAAACTCTCTGGGAACAGCTGCTGCGGTGCGTGTGTGCGTGAGTGCCGTGGCCCACCTTGGTGTCGATCTATGTGTGGTGGTGTGTCTGTGTGTGTGCAGGGTGTCTGAGGACACGCAGGCAACCGCGTTCAAGGAAAAGGTGCGCACAATGCACTCGTACACATCCATTCACCCACTGTGCCCGCTACACGGATGTGCGTGTGTCTTGTGCAGTTGGACGAGCTCGATCCGAAGCTGCGCATCTGCCGCTACCACCTGGGGCGGCTCAGTGCAGACCAGAGAGGGGGCGACTCACACAAACACAAGGCAAGCACTCACCCATACCCACCACAGCTTCCATGGCATCCCGCCATGTGTGTGTGCAGGAAGGCAAGACCGGCACAGCGGCTAGTGCCGCTTCGGCAGGTGTGCTCAACGACATGAGCGGCGGTGGTGCCTCTGCCTCTGCTGACGGCGACCACACCTCCTGGCGCGGCCAGAGAGTCGTCATTCCCTCGGTAAGCGCGCAGACACACGCACTGAGAGGGAGAGAGAGGGAGAGCGAGAGGCGTGCAAGTGTGTGTGTGCGCCCGTGGATGTGTAGGAGAAGGTGTCGGCTGGTCTGATTCGGTGCGACGAGCTGCGCCTGTCTAACTGTGTCGACATCGACAAGGCCACGTACACACACACACACACGCACACGTGTGGCCACATGGGCGGATGTGTGCGCACACAGAGAGAGGGATTTCGAGGGCCTGGACGGCAACGACGTCATTGAGAAGTACGCACAGGCACAGACACACACATGCACACCCCTCGTGTGTGTGTGTGTGCCATAGGTATGGCGAGATCTCTGCCTCCTATGCCGAGGTGCTCAAGCAGGTCCACAAGGACATGATCAACATGGTGAGACTCGCACCCAACACCCAACACACAGCCCCCACACGCACAGATATACACCTGTATATATATGTGTGTGTGCAGGGCGGCGATCCCGACTCACCCCAATGGAGCGCTGTCGAAAGTACGCCACCCCCACTACACACACAACACCACAACACACACACAACACCACAACACACCACAACACAACACAGAGAAAGACACATAACCAAACAGAGAAATTTGTGTGTGTGGGTGGGTGGTTGCAATGCAGGTTACGTGAAGGAGCAGACTGCGGTGCTGAACATAGAGCGCAATCTCCTGCTGCTGCTAATAAGCATCCACAAGCTGCACGCCGCTCAGGACGGTAGGCAACGGAGCACCACCCCATCGCACACACACAGATGGACGCGCCGCGGGGCAGAGACTGACACACATCTGTCCACGTCACGTGTATCGGCAGATCTGGTGCGTGGCAAGGTGAAGCCTGAGGAAGGGGTGCGCTTCTGCGAGCTCATCAAGGAGGTTAGTCTGTGTGTGTGTGTGTGTCGGTACACATTTCCGGATGCCTGTGTGTCTGCAGAACGTCTCCTCGGCTCTTGACCTCTGCCCGGAGTACCATGAAGACGCAGACAAGGTCAGAAACACCCATACACCCAACACCCACACACATGCATGAATCGAAGGATGGACGGAGTGCAGGCGTCGAAGCTGCCGATCAGCGAGGGTCTCTGCGAGGCGCTGCAGAGCTACCTGCACGTGGCCGCCAACTACAGGCATGCACACACAGATGCGTGGGTGTGTGTGTGAGGGGGTGGGTGGATGGATGGATGGACGAGTGCAGGTGCTGGTTCGTCGCTCTCTGCAACGCGGCCTCGGGCAAGCTCCAGGAGGCATATGGTATGGATGGATGGATGGATGGATGGCCACACACACACACACCCAGTGGCGATGTGGCGATGTGACGGTGCGTGTGTGTGTGAGCGCAGTGCTGACGGACCTAGCTCTGTCTCGGTCTGACGTGTCTCTGCCGCCGACCGCACCCAGCCCCTACTCACACATACACACGCTCGTCAGGCGACTGCAGGTAAATCCATCACACACACACACACACATCCATCCACCCATTGGAATGTTGACAGGATGACCTGCCCTCTCGTCTACGGCGGTGGCGCGCGAGGCTTGCTGCAAAAGTGGTGGCCCAAGGTGCGCAGCACGGCACAGAGAGAGAGGGAGAGGGGAACATCTGAATATATGTGTGTGCGTGTGTGTGATAAGCAGACAGCGGCTTGGAGGATCCCCTGGACAAGGCCGCCAGTGCTGGTGCTGGCGTGGCCGGTGCGTCATCGGCCTCTGCTGCTGCTGCTGCCTCCACAGCAGCAGCAGCAGCTACCACTGTCAAGGTGCCCCAACGAAACACAGACCCACCTTTATGTATCTCTGCATTTGTATGTGTAGGCTGGCGATTTGAATGCCTTTCCGCCAGCCATAGAGCCGATCGCCTGCAAACCGCTGCTGTTCGACCTGGTCAGTCAGTGCGCCTGTGCATCCGTCTGTCTGTCGGCACTGCAGATGGACAGCGTGTTGTGCGTGTCGTGTGTGCATGTAGGCTCTGTCGTCGTTTCCACCGCCCGACATTTCTCACCGCGTCAAGAAGGAGAGCAAAGGTGAGTTCTTCTTTTGCTGGATGCATCCACACGCGCACACCCACACACATGTATCACGTGTGTGTCATGTTAGGTCTGCTGGGGCGGTTCACCAGCTGGTGGGGCGGCAAGTGATCGCGACAAGTGCCCGCCTTTCATTTCTTTCCTCGGAGTGCAATTTTTTGGCCCTCTGGTGATGTTGTTGGGGCGTGTGTGGTGACGGCGATGGGGGCAGTGAGGATGTGACGGGGTGGTGCCCACATCAGCCTCGCCTACATTTGCACTGTCACTGTGTCCGTCACCTCTCCGGTACCCTACCATGATCACCACCGCTTCTCTACAGACCATAGAGAAGAAGTCAGAAGCATGGGGTGTGGGTGAATGCATGTGTGTATGTGCATGTGGACACGTGTGTCTGGTTGACTTGGACAAAGGAAGTGAACTAACTGGTAGCCGGGTTTTGAATGGGCCTGCCTTGCCTTCATTCCCAGCCCATCGCGTGTCCATAGCGAGTCAACACTTGCCTTGCTGCCGAGAGGGCGGCCAGCGAGTGTTTTGGGAAGGCCTATGGAGACGTCAGGACGGCACACAGATCCATGTGGGCCGCCTTGCCATTCACTCGGTCCCACCCTGCCAACCAATGACACGGTACAATTCCGTCACATTTCACACATACATACACACATTGACTGTCAGTCCATATGCAAGCGACGCACGCCCCACGCACAAAAGGTCGAGACGAGGAACGAAAGGAAAGCAAGACGACAAAGAAAGGGGACCATCCGTCTATCTGTCTGTTTCGTCAGGGAAATCAAAACTGTCTGCCTCTGTCTCTCTGGTCGCCGAATTCGTTTGGTGGGTGGTGAGCGAGGTAAAGCCAAAAACTCTGGTCGAAGGGTCGGCCCCAGCCAGCGCCCATGCGAATTCACCCATCCATCCATCCACCTCAATAATCAAAATCGCGAGCTTACAAGACACCATGATCATCATAAGACACGGAAACGACCCACTCGTGTGCCCGCCACAAGCTTTTCTCGTCTCACGGATGTGTCCCTGCTCCCACTGCACGCCCACAACGCACGCAGCACCAGCAAGAGCTGTTTTTCTTGCTTGTTGGCCTGCGTCCGCTGAGGGTGGTGCATCGGAGCAGGGCCACAACGAGACGCACCAGTAAGCAAAAGGCCTTACACTTACGCCTTCCCATCACTTGAAGGCACGGCACCCCTACTAATGCGACCGATCGACCGACACTCAGCTCACCTGTATCTTACACTCGCCAAAACGACCACACACACAACAACACCGATACCTCCTCTCTCTCTCTCTCTCTCTCTGTCTGCCCTGCCTGTACACGAGACTGATGGTATGCTACACGAGCGGCCGCTTGTTCCGCTCCCCGCTGTCATTGGAAAAGCGCGCAGTGTCCACCCGCCCGTGCACATGTACACCCCCCATCCATCCATCCATCCATCACCTTCAGGCCTGCAGATATGCATGGGAAGAAGACTCAGTCACAACCAGACAGACAGACAGACAGACAGCCAGTCGGACGGACGGACAGACAGACAGATAAAGAGGAAAAGTGGTCGGGACACGAGACCTGCGGGCGGCTGCTGGCTCGCTTTTCTTGGGGCCCCCGTCTTGTGTGCGCGAGGCCCCCGCTTGACGACAGCAGACGACTTGACCGCCACTCAGCTTCTGTGCAGAGTGGTAGTACCGTGGCCTGCCATCGTCAAACGAGGACCTCACGCACCCCAAGGGGGCCAACCAAAAGGAAAAAGTGTTGATACAATACAGCCTTCTCTCTCACAAAACATCTGATCTGATCTTGCTGGTTCGTTCGCCTTGCCCGTTTCACCCCCTTCGTGTGCCCCTTCTGAGCAACTCCCCGACCGGCTCGTGCAGCTCACTGTTGCTGAGTGAGACACACTGACCGGTGAAGAGGTCGTCCTACAGGAACAACGAGGGAGGTGAAACATGAAGGCAGAATGGGAAGGAAGGAGGAGGGGAAGCGGCAAGAAGACTCGCCGCAGCACGTCTGTGTGTGTGTGTGTGTGTGCATTGGAAAAGCGTTGCCTGACTAACATGACCCCCTTAGAGGGTCATCGCTATGCACAAGGAAGGAGACAGTGAGGCAGTGAGTGGAGTGAGCCAGCGAGTGGGATACATCTCTCGTATAAATCGATCAGCCCGAGAGAGAGACATCGATCGACGCATTGATCATCGCTTCAAACCACCATCAATCACTCTTGAAACACTCGTTCCATATATTCATCTGTTGATTGACGCGACGCCTGCCTATCATCTTTCTACACATAAAACTCTCATCCATCCATCCATCCATCCCGTCACCGTGTCTTGGCCGTCTCCTCTCCCTTGTCCGGCAGGGTCTTCAGGTAGGTGGGGCTGCCACTCTCCTTGCTGGTGTTGGCTCCTGGCTTGTCGACCACTCTCACCGGCTTGATACCCAGACGCTCCGTTATCCTGATCGAAACACAGCCGCGTGTGTTGCCTCTCTGTCTTGTGTGCTTCTGTGTGTGTCTTGCTGACGTAGCGTCCGAGTAGAAGGTCTGGAGCAGCCAGGCGATTGTGGCCGTGGGGATGATGTCTGTAAAGGGCAACACCTCCTCAGCCAGCTCAAGGCCAGCGATGAACGACGAGCCGTACAGCGACCTGACCAACACACCCAATCACACAACACAACAGATGCATCCACCCTTCCCCTCTCCACCCACACGCCCATCTTACCTCAGTAGCAATGCGGCGATTGGCGCGAAGAGCAGGTCACCCACCTCGCCCACAAGCGGCAGGCCGAACGAAAAGTCGCCCGCAAGGTCGATGGCGAGCGAGAACACCAGTTTGACCCACTGGCTGAGCGGCACCTCTCTCAGGGGGCCGAGGAACGACAGGTCGAGGGCAGGTGGCGTGCGCCTGATGGTGAGGGGCGGGGGGCTGCGGGGGAAGCCCAGCAGCTGCAGCACGGCCACCAGAGAGATCGCCACAAACGGTGACAGAAGGGCGGGCCTGAACCACACACACACACACAGACGTGGCTCGTTTGTCGTGCGTTCCCCTCACTCTAGGTACCTGATTGTTTCCCTCAGATTGGCCACCATCTGTGCCACGTCAGCATCGAACACCTGCAGCCGACTCAACCGCCCACCATATCCATCAGCATCAGCCCGCCGCCACCTCACGCCGCCAGGGATCACCGACGACGCACCACCCGTCATCACGCCTCGCCATGGAGCAACGAAGAAGCACCCGCGGCCCTGCCCGGTCATGATCCTTGTCCGGATGAGGGACGGCGGGATGGGCAGCGGCCACTTGGGCGCCGACAGATGCCGCCACGCAGCGGTGCTCCTCCGTCGCCGCCGTCCACCCACTCGGTGGTGTGTTGGGTCACTGCTGATGAGTGAGGACAGGCGGTAGGACGGCTGTGGGGGCTCGGTGTCAGCAGTGGCCACACTGAGCACCGCACCGTAGTGAGGCCGGGAAGAGTGAGAGTGGGCGCGGCTGTCTGTTGCGACGAGGGCCTTGTAGGCCGGGTGTCGGTGTCGCCGCTTCTTGAGTGTGGGACGTTTCCGGCCGCCCGTGCTGTCAACCACCAGGCTGCCGTACCTGTCTGGGATGGCCGCGTAGCGCTCAGTGACCGGCACAGCTGGCGGGCGAGGGTAATCTGGAACACGCACGCACGAGGAGTAGAGACAGAACATCCCTTTTGATCTCGTGGAGATTTTCCGACCGTGTGGTGCGTGCTTACTTTCAGGCAGGAAGGAGTAGCCATACTCAGTCTTCCTCGAGTAGCTCCGTTCCGGCACGGCCGAGTAACAGCCCTCAGGCCGAGTAGCGTAGCTCGACACGTAGCTCGACGCCTCCGCCCCGCCAGCTGCCGCCACCAGTGCTAGCACCAGCCAGGCCGCTACAGGCCTCCCCAGCCACCCCACCACCATCACCCAGGCACTGTTAGTGTTGTCGCGTCACGAAAAACAAGATGTGCTTCATCTCGGAGATCTTGGTCAGGGGGGACGACAGTCGTTGCGGGAACAGCTGAGGGCCATTCCGCGCGACGGCAAAGGGCTTTAAACGAGGAGAAAGGTCAGAGTGGCAATGGCGGGGAGCGGTTTCATAGAACGGGTTAGGGCGGAATCCGCGAGCTCGTGGTTGCCCTTATCTCTTGCCTTCTTCCGGCGAAAGCAGGACATCCGAACAGCCTCACGGTGTTGTAGATGGACCACTGTGCCATTTTCTGCCGTCGTACATTCATGCCAGCTGCCAGAACGATGACGCCCAGCTGGGGATACAGCAGAGGGGTGGTAAGTAGAGCGATGCAGTCAGCGTATATGACATCTGTGGCAATGGGAGGACGAACCTTCACACGCAAAGTTCGAAGGACCTACCTGTCTGTATGTCTGTCTACCTACTGCACCACGTACGTCGCATAAAGTCCATGAGGCTCATTCGACGACTGCAGAAGCGCCCGTGGCACACACAGAAAGACTCTCATTGTGCGATGCATACAAATACCTACATACAGAGTACACAGATGGATAAACGTCCGTGTGTACGGTACGGCATTACCGATAAACAGCTAGCTACAGACAGCTAAGTCACGCCCCCACACACACGGAAGGCAAAAGAGACATGATAAATGAGAGGGAACTGGCAATGCGGAAACATCTACCTACTCACACGAGAGTGCTACTGACACATGAGATACGCTACAACCACCAAAACACTTCACTTCCCTCGGCTTCCTCTCTCCCTCCCCGCCATCCGCTTCGCTTCACTTCACTCACAAGTACACCTGCTGTGTGTCTGTGATGGGCTGTCGGCACCTCGGGCACAGACGGTCGGCGGGGGGGCGGGTCATCAACACGCCAGCACACCCACCACACAGACAGATGTGGCGCTGCATACACACATGGGCACCAAAGAAACATGAGACGATAACGCCCATACAAAAAAAGTGTTTGTTTGTGTGTGCTTACACACGGGATGAGCAGGATGGACTTGTAGTTGTCCATGCAGTCGTCACACCTCAGAGCGTCATCCTCACCGCCACTGCTGGAAGATGCTGAGGTGGCCTGGGCGAGCCTGAGGGGTAGTGTCACACACGGGGAAGGAGATACATGGATAGATGGATGGATGTCGGTCTCATGTCGATTGGCTCACTTCCATTCGGCCTCTTGAAGCTGCCGTATCAGCGCGTCGTTCTCCTGATCCTGTTGGCTCAGCTGCTGGCGGAGCTGACCCACCAGACGCTCGGCAGCACCGTCAGTGGTCGTCCCAAATCCGCCCTGTGCATTCTCTGCGTGAGAGCTGCCGCCGGCCGATACAGGCGTCCGGTGTGCCAATGCCGTGTTGGTGTCAATGGTGCTGGGCGATGCTGCTGGTCGATCGGCACCCTGACGCACAGATGGGGCGAGTGGGCGCACAAGTGCGGGGGGAGGGGGCTGCTGCGGTCGGGGGGGCAATGCAGAGGAGCCCATGGACGGCGGCATAGCAGCCATCGGGACGAGGGGCGGGGGGCCGCTGACACACAGCACGATACACAAACATGACACACAGATGATGCACATATCTCTGTCTGTCTGTCATGTGTGTGTGTACCGGTGTGCGCGTGTTTGGGTGGGCATGTGAGTGAACAGCCCACGGCCAGCAGGAGGCCGCCGTGCAGCAGACGACGAGAAAGGCCCACCACCAATACTACACCAACACACACGGATGCACACATGGAGTGGGCAGCCATCCGAGTGAGTATGACATTCGGCTTACTTGAGCGGCTGTGTTTGGGTGAGAGCTGCATGCTGGCGTGTGGGGGCCGGCTCTTGTTGGTCTGGCTGGAGGTGTGGGCGTGTGCTGTCTCGCTTTTTGTTTTTCTTACGACCCCTGACGACGGGCACGAACTCGCCATCGCTCTCCTCACCATCGACAGGCGACGTGGCGGGGGCAGGGACGGCAGATGAAACATCACACGACGATGAAGAGGCAGCACTGCACACACACAGAGAGGGAGAGGGAGAGAGCGTGTCAGTGAGGCAATGAGGCCGCTTCACTGTGGCTGTGTGTGGTTACGGTTGTGGGTCGGCAGATGAGGTGGAGGGTGGCTGCTCGTCTGCGTCGGTCTCGACAGCACCAGTGGCCACACTAACGAACGACACACAGAGACAGAACACAGAGCTTTCCTCTCGATCGGCTCGCCACTGGTGTATTTATGGGTCAGTCCACCTGCTTGATGCCTCGTCGTCATCAATCGGCTCAAACTCGATCGATACTGGCCGCTGCTGCTCGCGCTGTTGCTGCTGCTGGTGTGCGCTGCCCTTGCCGCCCTTCTTGCCGCCCCTCTTGGCCTTCTTGGCCTTGTCCCTCGCCTCTCCCCTGATGAGCTCAGCGGCGATCTTCGCCGCTTTGGCGGCATCACTCTCCTTCTGCTGCTGCTGCTGCTGCTGTTGTAGTGGGGCGCTGGGCTTGGGGATGTCGTTGTGGATGTCCTGCACGAGTTTGCGGATGTAGCGCTGGTGTGGTGAGGCTTTCCGCACCAGCCGGATGTCCGCACCGTGCTGCAGCAGTGTGCGGATCACCTGCCTGGCCCTGTCGACCGCCTCCGGTGCCGCCTTGTCTCTCAGACGGTCGGACAGCAAAAGCCCGGCATGCTCCAGCACCGAGATCATGACGCCCTCTACGTCTGTTCGCGTCTTGTTGATCTCCTCCTTCCCGAGCCGCTCGCACAGCCACTCCGCCACCCATGGCGCACCCACGAGTACGGCGGTGCCGAGGGACGTGTACCCGTTTGCCTGCCTGGCAGTGAGGGAAGCGCCGTGTTGGGCCAGCAGGGCAAGGTAGGCGCATATGAAGCCATGCGACATGATCCCCCCCCGCTCGGCTTCGTGCGCTGCGGCCACGTGGATGGGGGTCTGCTTGTTGTCGCTGATGTAGTACTCCTCGTCCGCAGGCGCCGGGTCGTGCTCGAACAGACGATGATAGTTTTTCAGCAGATCGGCCTCGTACTGGGGACATGGAGGGGACGGAATGTGGCAGGTGTCTTTGAGGCAAGCCAGATGCAGCCCGTGGGTCACCGCACCAGCCCTGAGCAGCACGTCGACGGCCGTGACCTTGCCGCACCCGTGGGCCGCCTCCAGAGGTCGAAAGCCTTCATCCGGCCGACCGTTGGGATTGGCCCCGGCCGCTAGGAATGCTTCGAGCACCGCCTGCTGCAGCTCACGGGATGGCCACGGAGGGAGGGTCAGACGCGCGTCGGTATTCTGGCCGATGATGGCGTCGATGATGACCAAGGACAGCAATCCAACAGGCCGCAGATGGCACGACCCCAGATGCAGCTCAAGGCCCAGGTCCTCGTCGGCCCCCTCCTGACACAGACGAGTGACATCCTCAGCCGATGTGATGGTTCGGCAGGCGACTCCGGCTGCCAGCTCCGTTGTCGCAGGCTCATTGCCGTCGTCGCTCCTGATGCGGAGCTCAGAGCAGCCCTGGGGCTCGAGCAGCTCCCTCAGGCCGCGAGAATCGGCGTTCTGCAGCGCAGGGTCCCACTCCGGGGCCCATACTACGATGTGTGTACCGGGCTCCTCGGACATCTCACCGGGGAACGGCAAGCACCGGCCGTCTGCAGCAAAGAGGAACAAAATGAAGGGAAATGAAGGACAAGATTCTCTCCAAGGGCTTGAGGCCGACCTTGACGATAAACACAGAGCCACACCTACATCTTGCCACACCTATTAAATCCATCAAGGGCATGCCAATTTTACGTTTTGGCTGGGGTACTCGTATTCCCCGTACACAGGCAACCCCCAATCTCCGCGCACTGACAATGGATGAACCATCCATCCATCCAACAATCTGTGTGTCTCTCGGTGTGTCTGTCTGCCACTCGGTCTGTCTGTCTGAGCGACCAGGACGCGCTCTTACAGACATACATAAAAAGGCTTCTCTGAATAAACGTCTCGCACAGGGACTTTCGGCCCACACACACGTATATAGCTAGCACAGCCCAGACGTGGAATCGAGAGGCGACCATGCACACACACAAATACATACGCATACACACGGTGACCTTCGTCCTGCTGTCTGTCTTTGTCCGCGTGACTGTCAGTGATTTGGCGCCGCTTCGACGGGGGGAAAGCTTCTGTCGTTGGCTGGCTTGCTGGGCTCATGAGAAACAGCAGCACCCCCATCAGACAGAAACAGCGAACTCAGACGGAGGCAGCAAAAACGACGAATCGACCCGTCACTGACATACACACACAGAGAGAGACGAAGAGAGGGAGAGGGAGAGGGAGACGAGAGCACTCGAACGTACGCTTGGTTCCCGCAGATACATACACACACATACATACATACATGTACATGTGCCGACGTGTGTTATGACGACGTGACACACGGTCGTGTGGCACATTGGTCGTGTGGCAAGTAAACGGATCGGCCAGCCAGCAAGCCACTGATGCGCCACATCAGTCAGACAGAGCGGAGCATAAGACACACACATGGCTATCGATATCGAGCTGCTCACAGTATGAGTGCGAACATGAGGACACATGTACAAATACACACGCACCGCCCCCGATATCCCTCCTATTCCGCCCGCAAACAAGCCTGGGAACAAGGGCGAGAGAGTCAAGACGGCCAGAGGATGTCGGCGGCCTCGCTCGTGCCCAGCAGCAGCTCAGACGACCTCTTCAGCTCGTCCACAATCGCCGCTCTGGCTCGGCTGCTCCTCGTCAAGCGCACGCACGCCGCCATGAGGGAGAGGTCCGATATGTCATCAGACCGCAGTGACCGCGAGTGGTCGATCGCCTCACGAAAGGCCCTGGCGGCCTCCTCCTTCCGAGAAATCTCGTAGAAGATGAATGCTCGCAGCTGCAGCAGCCTCGATATCAGGAGGGTCTCGATGTTCAGCCCCCGCACCCTCTGCAGCATCTCGTCCACCTCGCGCAGGTCGCTCACTTCTCGCCAGCCCTTGGAGCTCAGCCGCTGCTGCACTTGCTCGATGACCGACAGGACGTGGGGGCTGTACTGGGGCTCGGGCAGCTGATAGTGGCGTGCTATCTCCCTCTCTTGGGATGGGAAGTGAAGTAGGTCCCAGTAGGAGACGGTGACCTCGTTGCCGCGGGCGATAGGGCGAACAGCACGAACGACCATCACATTCTCCTCCACAACGTACCTGTGTCCATCAGATAAATGGTCTTGCACGCATGGTTTCAAAATCTCTGCGTGTCACTGGCGTCCCTACCAGATGGCATTGCGGCTCAGTCCGCCGTGGCTCAATAGCGATGCCAACGGCCACAGGCCCCCTGCAAAGCAGAAGAAGACCGAGGGGAAACCCATTGAAAAGCCATCCACCTCAGCCATTTGTTCGTCTCACATTGTATCACCTGCCATGAGCACCGGAGGAACCGAGCCCTGGATGGAGGTGTCAATGATATCGTCAGCAGTGCGGATGTTGAAATGCAGCAGCCGGCGGAGGCGGTCAGGGTCACGGTCCATCTGTGCCACGGGAGAACCGAACTCCTCCCCGGTGGCGGACCAGATGAACCGCGGCACCAGGGGAAAATAGGCTGGAGGCAGCCCCAGACACGTCTCAGGGGCGGGGGGCCCCCTTATGGCCGATGGCTGCCCCCTGCTGGGCGGCAGACAGCACAGCTGAGAGACCAGCCGGGGGTGCCAAACGTCACACTGAGATGTCAGGCGCTCCAACAGCCTCTCGTCGACTCGCCTACTGTCTTGCGAGGACGATGGCCGCTCCACCACGACGGGCTTCTCGACAATCAGCAGCTGCCCCGGCCGGACTTTTGCTGTGGCGATGAGGGCCGGCTGGCTGTCGGGGGCGTGGCGGATGGCGAGAGGCCCGACGTACTCAGCCACGTCGACGGTGGTTGTCGATCTGCCGTTCTGTTTGTTCTGTGCGTTGCCCATTGCCTGTCGGTAGATGGCCGCCCAGTCATACTCTCCGCTGGCGTTGGCCGCGTGGGTGCGGATTCGCTCTTGGAGTTTGTTGACGTCTGTGGCCAATTGACGCTCGAGATCCTGGAAGACACACACATACAGCCACACGATCGTCACCATCTAATGAGCGTCCCATCGGCAGCTTACATGTTTGGTCAGCGCCTGGACGACGGCATCGGCAGCGTCGAACAGCCGCTCCGCCAGCAGCCCCTGGCCCAGCCGAATGAGCGTCTTCTGCTGGATGACACTCAGCTGCTCACAGGGCCCCTTGAGGCAGCTCAGATGAAAGGCGGCGGCCGCACAGCCGACGGCATCCGGCCCTCCCTCCTTGATCAAGTCGGGCTTGAGCAGACACGCAGCCGCGTTGCAGAGCAGTGCCACGAGGGTCGACACATCAGCGGCCGCCAGACCAGCAGTGAAGACGTCACGCACATCGGCATATCTCTCGCTGTCCTGCAGCGCCGCGCCCTCCGTCAGCGCATCCGTCACTTGCTGCGGTGCCTCGACGACCGGCCGGTCTGTCGAGCGGCCGACAGCTGCATCATGGCGGCCGTCATGAGTGCCGCGATCGCTTCTTTCGATGGCAGATCGACGTCCTGGTCATCATGGTTGAAAGCTGCACCGGTGAGCTGCGCGATGAGGGGCTTGTAGAGCTTCACGGCGTTCTCCTGGAGGATGGCGTACTTGCCGCCTGGCTCGATGGAGTGTGGGGGCGGGAGGATGCGGAGAGCGGTGGTGACGTCGATGAAGGCAGCGAGGTAGCTCCCCAGCCCGATGAGGCACTGGGAGCGGCGAATGAGCAGCTCAGCGATAGTCTCACGCTCCGCTCGGATGCCCTGACACCATATGGAGAGACAACAGCAGGAAGCCGTGTCCATCTACGGGTCATACGTCACAGTCACTGTGTGAGGGGCACCTTGAGATACGAGCAGTAGGCGTCGAGATACTTTTCGGCCGCAAACAGAGCATTGCCAGCGTCCTTCCATCTCTCGGCAGTCGACTGCACAGGGGCAGATTCACTGGCAGCAGCAGAGGCCACAGCAGCACTACTGCAAAGAGGAGAGCAGCCACAAAGAGCGACGAAAGATGTAAGACTGATGATATGGCGCTGTCCATCGCGTCGTTTGAGTGTACGGCTCACGTATGGGCACTTGACGAAGACGGCTGACGGGCGTCCTCGTCGATCGGAGCACCTGACCGGCTACACACACACCACACACATCCATAGAGAGAAACACTAAGACATTCGTCAGCCGCAGTTGGTGTGCATGGTTCTTGCCTACTTACCTTGTGGACGGAGCGGTGGAGGGCACTGACGACCCACTCGCCTCAGAGCCACCCGCACCCTTCGCCGCAGACTGCTGCATCCCTTGCTGGATCTCCAGCACTAGGTTGCGCGCGTATCGCCGGCTGGAATGGTCGGTGGGGAGGAGGCCGATGTCCGCACCATATCGCAGCAGTGTGCGGATGATCTGCCTTTGCCGGTCGATCTTTTCGGGCGGGGTCCCCTCTTCGCTGAGCTGCTCCGCGAGGCGATGCGCCGCCGCACCCAGTGCCGTCCTTTGCAGCCCCACAGCATTGTTGTTCTCGCTGTTTATCTCGTCGGGCCCGAGCCGCTCACACAGCCACTCGACCACTGGGGGGCCAGCGTCACCACACCTCACAGCCATGCTCAATGGCGTCGAGTCATTATCGGTTCTGGCATCGAGGGAGGCACCATTGGCCTCCAACAAGTCGAGATAGCCGCGCATGAAGGCTGTCGACAAGCCGGGCGGGGCCAGGCAGGCACGGTGCATGGCCGTCTTCCCAGAGAAGTGGCGGCTCGCCAGTGTCCGTTCGTACTCGAACAGCCGACGATAGACTTCGAGCAGGGCTGTCTCGTATGCAGGTGTGGGATGTGACGGGGCTGCATTTCTGGGGGTGAAGCCGATCGCCAGCCCCGAGGATCTTGTTTGTGTCCCATCCGACGTCTTGACCAGCGGGGCATCATCCCCTTCATCACGCACAGCAGCCCCACTGTCCAGCAGCACCTCGGTCGCCGTGACGTTGGCCATCATGTGGGCCACACTGAGGGGCCTGACGCATCGCGTGCCTCCATTCACGTCAGCACCGCATTTGACGAGCGCATCCAGGACATCTCGCTGCACTCGGCGAGAGGGCCACGCGGGGAGCTTGACGCGCTGGGTCACAGCCGACCAGAGGGCAGGACGGCTGTCGAACTCGTCGTCAACTGCGAGGCACAGCACGCTCACAGGGGCTGGCCGGAGGTGGTGGATCAGTGGCTCCCCTTCACCGTTCAAAACCGTCACTGGCTGCGGCCTTTGGTCTCAAGCGTCGTAGTCGCATCCGCTCCTTCCTCTCGACACAGCCGCAAGACCTCGTCACCTGTGAGGCTGCGGCACATGGTCCGACACAGCAGCTCTCGAGAGGCAGAGGCACTCGTGGCCTCCGGCGTCTCGCATTTAATGTCGTAGCTCGCCAGAGAAAGGCCTTGAGGCCCCAGCAGCCTCTCCACTTGCTCCAAATGAGAAGCATTGACACCATTCTCAGATGCCTGAAAAACAGAACGCAAGGGACAGAGGACATGTGAATCGATTCCCCATATATACTGAGTCTCATTCCTCGCAAATTGCGTACCCTGTTGCTGCCTTTGGGCAGTCTGAGATTTGTCGACGCCCCAGCAGCGTTAGACGGAGATGCATCCGCGACCGGCGCACTGACAAACGAAAACACCAAGACAAGTCCTCTGTTGACTCTATTTGTTGACTGTCACTGTGGCGCATGGCTTACAGAAAGGGCGCAGCAGATGAGGATGAGGATGCCATGGTGTCAACCAGAGGACTGAGACTCGGCAGGAAACCATGGTCATGGCATTGCTGCCCTCTCCGCGGCTGTCTGGCCACCGCCCACCTGTGTGCACTCGTCGGTGACCGGGCCGTCTCTTCATCCATCGCCTCAGACGACACCCATTTGCCGGCAGAGTGCCCCTGCCGCCCGCTGCCTCGCCGACCCGCTGTGATGCCCCCATCTGCCAGCCGCCCGACGCCCTCCGCTGCTCTCGTCTCGAGTGGCTGGTTGCTGCTCGCGTGGATGGTGGTCTTGGTATTGTTCTTCTTGCCCATGGTGCCGTCGTGTGCTGAGGGCAGCAGCGGTGAGATGGGGGGCGGGGCGGCCGATGAGGATGACGAAGTGGAGGCACTCGCACTCTCAGCACCTGCACACAGATGCACCAAAGACACAGTGGCAGCCAGAGGGATGGCGAACTATTTACTGGTACTCTTGCGTGAGTACCTGTCCCAGCAGAGGTGAGCGTGACTAGTGCCACTTTCACATCCGACGCTTCCAAAGAGGCCGCCCAGGTCCGCTTGACGGCGTCCTTGGACATCAGCACCCCCACAGAGGGCATGTGCGCGGCAAAACCAACCTTGATGGAGGACTGCGCTGCCGTCAGCCCCGCCGGATCCTCTTGGACCACCACCAGCGGCTTCTCCTCTCCTCCCTGCTGCTCATGGCACGTGTCCACCAGCCTCCGGGCAGTTGCGACGGCTTGCTCTGCAGCACCACCATCACGCCACACTTGAGGCCGAGACCGATAGTGGGCCGGGACGATGGCGACCAGCGTGCCATCGACATCCGTGCGCTGGGCGGTAAAGACGACCACGTCAGGCGCGGCCTCATCGGGGGCCTCGGCAGTGACATCGTGGCAAACTGAATCGCCATCAATCCACCCGGAGTCAATCTCTGGCTGGCGGAGAGCGATGTCGATGACAAGGCCCCGCGATAGACAGGCATCTTGCAGCGCCCGGCACACACTGGCGTCCGACAGCGACCGAGCCCAGAAGGTCACGCCAGCATCGTCGCGAAAGTCGAAGCCGATGGTGTCGACAGGACGGCCGCCGGCTGATCGCTTCTTGCAGACTGCGAGGCCGTCAAAGCTTCTTCCCTGGCCTGGCATGGCGGCCGCAACGAGGCGGAGAAGCCGCACCAGGATCCCGGCCACGTTGGTCGCCCGCTGCACGTCCTCCTCAAACGACAGCGGCCGGTGGGACGCCGACCCAGCTGACCCGCTGAGGCGTGGCTGAGGTACGCCGGACGATGATGGACGTGAGGTGTCTGGCGACATCCAGCCTGGAAGGCCGAGGGATGAGGGCGGGAGGGGTGAGATGGGGGGCGGGGCGGCCGACGACGAGGACGATGAGACGCCTGTGAACACAGCAGCGCCAGACTGGTCAGATCAGACAGAACGACACACAAGGGAAGGATGAGTGGGTCAGCCGATGCGCAGCACGTCTGTCGGTTCACCTTGCTGGGAGTGTCTGGGAGTGCGAGAAGACCACTGTCTGCTGCTGCGGACCCTTCGAAGGCATCTTGAAGAGCATCTTCCCAACAATTGGCTACGCTCGTAATGGCGCGCCGCTGGAACTTCGACAGGCCGCCCAGCAGGATGGCAAACATGCTCATGCACGCCTCTGTCAGCTCCTCGAAGCCCACTGCGCCAGCCCACACGACGGGCAAGTTGGCCGAGCCGAATGCATCGTGGGTAGCCATTTTGAGTCCCACACGCTCCCCGCCGGCGCCACAGGTGGCCTCGGTTGCCGTCCTCAGCTGCCGCAAGGCGAACTGCTCTTCGGTCGACGGGCGAGAAAAGTCACGCCTTCGTATATCTGCTCCCATGACCGACCGGATGAAAATCACCGCGGTGGGGAGAAGGGCGGGTCGGTCGGGTCGGGTTGGTGCATGAGGAGCAGCCGCATCGCGAGCAGCTTGCTGCTCAGTGTTCACAGACTCTGTCACACATAGGAAGAGAAGGGAAAGGCAAGGATTAGCACGCAACATAGGAAGAGAAGGGAAAGGCAAGGATTAGCACGCACCCACTTCCCTTGCCCCGCCCGCCTCCCCGCCTGCATACCTGCGATTCGCTGCAAGTAGGTCAGCATGTTCTTGCCGGGGTCTATGGGGTCTGTCGGACGAACAATCTCCGCCCACTGGGATGAGGCCACCACTGAATCCACGACGGCCCGCCCGGCTGACAGTGCCGTCTGCAGTGCCGTGTCTGTCGCGGCAGCCGCCCACTGAGTGTGCTGCAGGCCGGTGACCTCGAAGGCGAAGCCGATCGTATCCATCAGCCCACCAGGAGTGGACGCCTTCTTGACCGCACTGACTTTCACAGAGTCGGTGCTGCTCGCCTTATTGGCCATGGTCTTGGCTGGTTTTGCCACCTGCTTGACTTCTGCCGAGAGCTGCTGCTGCTGCCGTGAGGCGGGGGGGGTACGAGAACTCGACGATGGGGGGAGGGCAGCGGGGCGAGGGGGATGGGGGAGGGGGCCGCTGGCGCATCTCTCGGTCTATGTCCGACACCAAGCTGTATGCTCGCCGCTGCATGGGGTTGTCAGTGCGCATGCTGTCGGGGGACGCGCCATGCTGAAGCAGCACGCAGACCACCTGCTTGCGTTTGTCGATGTAGTCAGCCGGGCGCTTCTCCTTCGACAGATCATAGCCCGCGAGCTCTAGTGGCAGGAAACCCTTCCCATTCTTCCTGTTGATCTCCTCCGCCCCGAGCCGCTCACACATCCACTCGACCACACAAGGCGCACCCATAAGGACGGCGCGATCGAGGGGCGTGAAGCCCTTCCCATTTCTGGCAGTGAGGGAGGCGCCGTGCTCCGCCAGCAGGTCGAGGTACGAGCACATGACGTCTGTCGGCAGTGAGGGCGACCCTGCTGAACCTGCTATGTACATGGGGGTGGCCCCGCTGTCCTCGAGCTGCTCGGTTGCCAGTGTCCGGTCGTGGTCGAACAGCCGGCGGTAGACGTCGAGAAGGGCGCTGTAATACTGGGGGCCGGGGGACGGGGGAAGGAGACATGGATTCGGGAGGTGGCCCAGCTGCAGGCCTCGCACAGCCGCCCCACGCTTGAGCAGCACCTCCACAGCGGTCAGATTGGCGCACCAGCGTGCCACGGCGAGGGGTCTCGGGTCCCCGCCGTTCACATCAGCCCCAGCCTCGATCAGCGCCTCGAGCACCGCCCGCTGCACCTCGCGAGATGGCCACAGAGGGAGGTCGAGCCGCCTGTCATCATGCAGCCCCTTGTCGGCAGTAAACAGCCACATAGGACTTGAGCTGTCCGTCTCGTCGTCGATGGCCATCGACAGGAGGCTGATGGGTGCCGCCAGCCGTTCGTTCAGGGCAATACTGATGGCAGCAGACGGGTCAGCCCCTCTCTCATGACTGCAGAGTGCTGAGACTTGCGAGTCTGCGTCAGGGGTGCGGCACAAAATCATAGAAGCCAGCTGTCGGTTGGCGGGGCCGTCGCACTCCCGCCCATCCCCGTCGTACATCTCGCCGAGCGAGAAGCCTTGCGGACTGAGTAGGGCGTCTAGCTGCCGTTCGTAGGAGGGCTTCTGCTGACTCTGAGTGGATCAAGCACACGCACACAGGAGACCACATGCATGTTACGTCGAGTCAAGTTCATCGTTGCCATTTACCTGGCTTGACGAAGGCATGTCATCCACTGGCGACCGAGAAGAGGCAGCCGCCGCCCGGCGCCTCCCAGACGAGCCAGACAACGACTTCATCTGCACACCAGACTGAATTGCTTGCGTGTCCTTCGCCTTTCGCCGCCGCTGCTGTCTGTTTGGTGCGGTGACTGACCTGTGTGACCCGTCTTTGACGCCCTCGAGGCACTCCTTGGCCTCAGGTCTACACGCTACACAGCTCACAGTCGGCTCTCCATCCTCGCCAGTGATTCACTCGACGAATCAACACACAGTCACAGCCGCTGGCAGCCGACGAGGAAGCTTCCCGGTTTCGAAAAGGACTCGCCTTCCCTTCCCTTCTCGTCGGTCCAAGCTCGCACACATTGACTGGCAATCAAACTGCGATGAAACAACGACGATGAAGCGCCTCTGCCTGCTGCTTCTCTCGCCCATTCTCACGCGCGCCGCATTTCCCTCTACGGCCTTCGCTCCGTCACCGGCCACACCTCAAACCATGGGAGCCAGGCGGGGTGTCCAGCGGCGGCTGCGGCTCCCACGGAGTGGTCCAGCAGGTGTGTTGGTGATGGTTGACCATCGCGACAGGGGCGACCGCACTGTGGCCAAGAGGGGCGCGGCGGCGAGAAGACGGAGTCTGCGGAAGAGCCTGTTTGACGAGCAGATCAAACCTGACGGGGATGTCTATGGCGTCTGCCTCGGTCAGCAGAGAGGGCAATGGCAGATGGGATGACTGACAGTCACATTTCTGTGATGGGTACGTGTCGTTGTGTCTGTCTGCTTTGCTTGTTTGTCTGTCTGTGTGTCTGTTTCTTTGTTTGTTTGTCTGTTTGTCTGTTTGTCTGTTTGTCTGTTTGTCTGTTTGTCTGTTTGTCTGTTTGTCTGTTTGTGCAGGTGCGTCGCTGGATCTGGAGGAGATTGAGGAGGCTTTCGATGGTCAGTGAGTGCGGCCAGCACACACATACAGACAGACAGAGAAAATCGTTCATTCGCTGTCGGTTTATTTGTGTTGTGTTGGTGCAGAGAGGAACTTGCCCGAGTTGGCTCCCGGCCAGGAGCACCCACTGAAGGTCACCAGCGTCTTCGAGGAGGTCATATTCGCTAAGGTCAGCACACAAATGACACTCAACGCAGCACCGTCCATCTGCTTCTGTCTGTGACTCGTCAGGCATTCGGCAGCCGCGATGTGTTTTTCTTTCGGTTTGGGTGCATGGTGGGGTGGGACCTCAACGCCAAGCAGCGGCTGGAGCTGAGGCTGCTCATACGGCCGTTCGTATTCCAACCTGGTGAGTGGATGCCAGTCCTATGGTCACCCACACACAAGTGCGTATCAGTATCACTCACACTTGTGTGGTGTGTTGTGTGCTGTCAGCTCCTGAGGTTGACTTGGAGGAGGATGAGATGAAGTTTGTCTTCTCGGAGGACAGACCACAAATACGTACGCACACCCACCCACACACACACACAGATGCACGGACACCAGTCTGGCGAGGTGCACCTCTGTTTCTGTGTATGTGTGTAGGGCGTGACGCCTTCTTCCTGGTGACGTCCAACACATTCGAGAAGCTCGCCTACTCATACGCACTCGCACAGGTATGCCCTGCCCACCATTCACATCACACACGGCAGCCGTGCTTGGTGCGCTGGCCTGGCCTCAGCGGCATTCTTCCTCTATGTGTCTGGCGTATGTAAGTCAATCAAGTTGGCCGTGTTTGAGAACATCATTGAAGACACCATCGAAAGGTGGGTGCGTCGTTGGCCGCCCACCACCGACACAAGAAATGTGTGAATGTCATCGCTGGCTCCCTGATTTCAGGACCCGCCGCATCCCGGAGTCGATGGCTCGCGACGGCACCACCTGGATGAGCAGGCGATCCATCGCACGACAGCTGGGCAGGCTGTTCGTCCTCAGAGCCAACGTCAACCTACAGGCAAGCAGCCACCCACCAACACACAACACACGAGCCGCACACACGCCGTTCTCTCCACAATGCTGTGCGATGAATGAATGGCAGACTGACATTCTGGACACGCCAGAGATTCTGTGGGAGTTTGACGAGTGGGAGAACCTCTACCGACTGGGAAGGACCTACCTGGGCGTCAGCGAGAGAGCCGATATACTCAACCAACGACTCGACATCATCAAAGTCAGCCGCTCGACACAGACAAGACACGAAACACACTCACACACACCGATGGATGTGTGGTGGTGTGTGTGGTGGTGTGTAGGATTTGTATGAGATCCTGAACGACGAGCTGTCTGTGCAGCAGACCCACAAGGAGGGCCAGACGGTCATCTTCCTCATCACGCTCGAGATCCTCATCGAGATACTCAAGGAGCTGCTCGACATCCCAGCCATCTTCATGTTCTTCAAGAACCAATACACAAGACTCACAAACCTCTCCAAGTAAGGACGTATGCAGCTCCGTACCAAGGCACTTATACGGCTGCATTTCACGTTGTTTCTGTCACCCCTTGTGTGCAGGTCGTGTCAGAGTTTTCTGATCGCTTTGCCAGTCCCTGTCAGAGTGCTCGCCATCGGTAAGCAGCTGGCCGGACATGACACACCTGTACCGAAGCTGACCCATGTGTGTGCACTGGTCCAGGTGGTGTGGGTGCGTTGGTGGTGGCTCCTCCCGTCATCCGCACTGTCCGCGGCGTCATCGGCAGGCGGCGGGCCAGACGAGAGTTCGAGAAGGCCATGCAACTGCAGCCACGGGTGGGTGGCCAACTCACACACACCGCTAGAGAGAGAGAGAGGGTGGGATGTGCAGCAGCACATCCATTTTGCGTTTCTGTCGTCAGGGTGGCATGTTGCTGGATGAGGAGAGCGCCAGTGAGCTCTACTCGTACGAAGACGACATCAGCGAGCTGCTGCACAACCTGCCAGAGGGCATGGATGCCCACCAACTCAACGCCCTCGCCGACATGGTCTACGACACGGCCCCCGCCACCGCGGCCCACAGGAAATACCCACCCATCCATGCGTATGAGCAATCGCAATCCGTCACCGACAGGTGAGAAGAACTCTACAACATCTGCCGAAGAGAGCTGTGTGTCCATCTGTCCCATTGTCCTTCCCTCGTTGGTTCGTTCAGAGCTGCGCAAGCCCCCTCCCTCTCGTGGAAGCGCTTTGCGCGCGAGCCGTCATCAGCCCGACCCGCCGCCCCAACACTCAAGGACCGCATTCAGCAGGTCTCCCAGACCCTCAGCAGGTCCCTCAGAAGACACCCGAAGAGAAACAGGTCGGCAGAGAGGCAACGGAGCGACCCTCCCGCTGCTGCTGCTGCTGCTGCCGGCAACAACCATGAGGATGCTACGAGTGAGCAACGGCGAGAAGAGACCGATGAGCAGCGGGGCACCAGCGGCAGCAGCAGGTCGAGCCCGCCTGCAATTCGAGAGCGGAGGGCGACGTTGCTGCGGACGCACGACTCGTCCCGGTCGTTCAGGGAGGGCAGCCAGAAGCGCCTCAGCCTCTCCAGAAGGCGGTTTGGCGAGGGCAGCGACGGCGACAACACAACCACACCAGCAGCAGCATCATCCCCCTTCTTCGCCCCCGGAATGGCATCAGTGTCGCCTCTGTTGATGCCCTCGGCCGTCAGTCCGTTCCCCTCCTTCCCCTCTGTGCCGTCCTTTCTGCTCGACCCAAGGGTGATGGGGTCGCTGTCCATGCAGCAGGAGGGCCTGCGCCAGCTGGAGAAAGAGCTCAACGACAAGGTGTCGGCCTTCTTCGCTGATGCCGGCTCTCTCAACGCCGCGCAGATCCAGCAGCTGCAGCAGGCTCTCCTGCTTGACCTGCTGGGAGGCCGGATGTTCCCCTCACCACTCACCACCCCTTACGCTGCTGGTGGTGGTGCTGCTGCTGTCGGTGCGCCAACAATGCTGGCTAACAGCAACGTGACAATGAGCAACGGCCTAGACGATGGGCAGCCGAGAAAGGCGCGGGCTCGTGTGCGTGTGGGGGGCAGCGGTGAGAGGCCGCCGCCGGTGAGCAATGAGATGGAGACGAAGAGGGATGGCGAGAGTGAGGTCCGCAACACGGCGGGAAGGGGGGCGATTTGGGCCCCTGTTAGTCAGCTAGCAGACAGCTGACTGTGAAGCCATTATGTAGGTAGAGGGGTGTGATGTACAGCACAGCAAGCGAGAACAGCCGACAGAGAAGGTTTGAGAGTGTCTTGTTCCCCCTTTTCCTGACCGGCCGGCCATATCCGATGAGAGAGTGATTGATTTGGCGAGGGTGTCGCTGCGGTGTGGTGTTTGTGGATACCGTCTCATATTGGTTTGGGTGATTCCCTGGGAGGGCGTCTGTGTAGGTGAGAATCTGATAGAGAGAAGAAGAGCTAGGACGAATGGAAGTGAAGCTTCCTTCATCTCTGAGGTGTGAGAGTCTGGCAATGAAGTCAGTCAGCTAAAGACGGACAAATGCGTCGACAGCAACTCAGTGGCGAGACCGTTAGTGCACTGCACGGTGTTCAATCAACGGTGTCGGATGTCTGTCTTAGTTCGGCCATTCAAAAGCATAAATTCACTGATGCACAGTGAGCAGATGAGTCTGCATAAAACGAAACGTGACACCCATTCCATTCCGTGAACTGATCAGTGCCCTCTCACGACTAACACATTCAGCCCCATCTCACCGCATACACACACACACACATCTGTCCCTCATCCCAGCACCGTCCCTCTGTTGATGACGTCATCCACCAGCTCGAAGTGACTCAGCACGGGACGCCAGCGGGGCATCGATGTAGGGAACCGGACGGCCAGCGGCTGAGACCGATCGCCAACAGACCGCTCGGTCCTGTACAGAAAGATGTAGCCATCACTCACACTCAGATAGGCAGCGACGTCCTCGTTGGGCCGGAAGCCGCTCACGATCACACGACGACTGTCGTCAGGATTGGTATGATTCAGGTTGCCGACGTCTACGCGAAAGTCCGCAGCGATGGCCCCCTGCTGCTTCTCGCTGATGGCCTCGGCCAGCAGACGGCGATAGCGGGGGTCATTCCTGCCGATGTGAGCGTGCAGCACCCACCTGCGGCCCATCCCCTCATCATGGCACCACCGCTCGAGCACCGTGCGCAGGAGGAATGACGAGAAGGAGCGGTAGAGGTAGTCGTCTCGGCGGATGACGGGATCGGTGGTCTGGTAGCCGCTGCGATAGGGATGGTTGGCCGTCAGGTCACTCAACGGCACCACACGGAACGACGCATCGCCGATCCGATACGCCCCATCATTGTTGTCTTGCTGCAGCGCCAGGCTGGTCCCCTGGTGGGTGAGGCGATGGCCGATGGTCTTGTAGAGGGCCATGATGAGGGGCAGCTGTCGGAGGGCTGTTGGGGAGGGCAGCGCATCAGCCGACAGCCGCAGGGGCAGAGTTGCATTGGGTGTGAGCCGATAGATGGCGGCCAGCCGAATGAACCGCCCCATCGCCCGCCACTCTCCGCCACTGCCCTCCTCCAGCAGATGCACCACCTTCCAGCCGTCCTCCAGACCACCGACGTCGAAGACCAGGACGTCCTCGAGCCCCAGACGACCGATGGCCTCCTCTATGCGCTGCTCGACGAGTGTGAGCGCGGTGCTGGCCTCGGCCTGCGGCAATCTGACGATGCACCGACGGAGTTCTGCCGCCCTGGTGATGGCAAGGTCGGGCAGAGAGAAGACTGCCGGAGGGGCGGGCTGGGGAGTGGTGGGGGGCATCTGATGCGACGACGACGCCATCGGTGAGTGAGTGAGAGATCTGAATGAATCAAAAGAGGAAGGACACACGAACGAGTGAATGGCAATCAGTCAGTCAGACGAGATCCATGGGAGGGCGGGATGCTCTGCTCACCTCAGACAGACACCGTCACAGCAGAGAGGCGGGGGGAGTGAGCCCTGGTGAATGAGTGACTCTGCAGACACACAGCACACCACAAACTTGAGCGAGGAGCGACGCAGAGACTTGAGATCTGCTCAGACAAACCACCAGCAGCTGTGTGAAGCATTGTCGGTCGTCCTTTGCGCCTCTCGCTGCCCTCTCACCTTCGATGAGCAGCGCCTTCAAAATCGTCGCGGGGTGATTGAGGCATTGCGAAACTCCCACGCCTGCGGCGTGTGAGTTGGGGTAGATCTCGTGTAATGCAACTGCATACTGAGAACCCTGAGCACCCTGAACTCTGCCTCCTTCTCGTGAACCGTCCCTCTGGCTCATCTGTTGCCTTCACGGGCAACGACAGCGATCCTCCACAGCCACTCGAGCTCATCTTCCGACATGGGCGCAGCAAGTCGTTCTGGCTGTCGCTGCTGAGCCAAAGATCTGCCCAGATCTTCGTCACCCCGTCGTCCATTCGGCCTCCCTCGGTCACCCCTTAGACCCCCACACTCGCCGCTCGACTCCCGTCGACTCCCCTCGCCTCCTGACCAAGCTCCACCACGAGATCTACGACCACCGGGAGCGACTACGTCAAGCTCAGCACCAGCGACGTACCAACCTTCTCCGAAGATGAGAAGAACTACCCTGATTGGGTACGGTACTTCCGCACCATGCCGGGGCACGGTACTTACACGCTAGCTGCTTCTGTGTGCTTAATTGTGTTGTGTCAGGTTCGGTCGCAGATCATCGCTTTGATTGAGAGTGAGTGAGTGCTTCTCTTCTCACAGGGTGGCCAAGGGGTGACTCAGGGGAAGGGGGTGACCGACAGACAAGGTGTGTGAGGCACAACGGGAGATCAATCTCTTTGATGCTTTGACACACACACGTGCCGCCTGTGGTGCTGCTGGGTGTCTGTCAAGCAGTGCCTCGAGGGCGTCCAAGCCGTGCATTCGGCTCATTCAGGTCAGTGAGCGCACGAACGGACAGCAGCGGTGCCGAAAGGCGAAGGACACGCAAGGAATTCAGTCTGGTGTGCAGATGAAGTCGTTGTCTGGCTCGTCTGGGAGGCGCCGGCCGGCGGCTGCCTATTCTTGGCCGCCAGTGGATGACATGCCCTCGTCCAGCCAGGTGAATGAGACGGAAAGGCAGCCTTTCGCTGTGACGTCCATGTGGTCTCCTGTGTGCTTGTGCTTGATCCATTTAGACTGACCAGGAGCCCTCCTACGGGCGGCAGCTAGACGACCAACTCAGTCCGCAAGACTTCTCTCTCGGCCCGATCATCGACACCCCCGCCAACCGGCAGCTGGCTTCCGTCATTCTGTGTCGCTCGCCCGACGCAGAGTCTGAAATTCAAAGACTGTGCCGCGAGAAAGGAGCTGATGCCGAGATGGCCATCAGTCTGGCCACCGACCATCCACTTCGTCTACGGAAGGGGCCCATCAGCTTGCTGTCGGTGGCCATTGACGCGGCCGACAGCTCCATTCCTGTGTTGTTTGCTGACAGGAAGGAGCTGCATGACGACAGGCGGCTCGACCTCCCTCTGGCCATCTCGCGAGGTGCAGCGGGCGGTGCTCGAGGCGCTGATCGAGGTTGGGGCTGATGTGAACGGCGGCAGAACTAGGCGGATGGACGTGATAGGTCTTCCTCTCCGAGTGGCTGGCTGGTGCGCCAATCTGACCGCTGTGGAGGTGCTGCTCAAGCGTGGGGCGGCTGTGCGAGGCCTGGGGCTGGGCGACCTCCCGCCATCAAGTGTCCTTCCCTCGTCCCCCAGCCCCCAGTATTACAGCTCCCTTCTTGACGTCTACCGCCGGCTGTTCCAGCATGATCCGACATTGGCGACCGAGCAGCTCGAGAAGAGCGGGGCTACCCCCATGCACGTGGCAGGCGGAGAAGCGCTTTCACTGCCGTCGGAGTTCATGCACTCGTACCTCGACCTGCTGGCCCAACACGGCGCCTCCCTCACAGCCAGGCATGCAGAGGGCTACACGCCACTCGACTTCGCCGTCCGATTGGCTGCACCGAGTGTGGTGGAGTGGCTGTGTGGGCGTCTTGGGGCGGAGGAGATCAACAAGAGAAATGGACAGGGCTTCCTGCCACTGGAACTCGCGGGCGTGCAGCGTAGTGAGAGGTCGGGAACGAAGCCTTCAGCTGACAAGATGGACAGACTGAAGCAGGTCGTCCGCGTGCTGCTTCAGCATGGTGCGTCCCCCGACCGCATGAGCACTGACCCCCACTTGCAGCAAGCACGCAGCTTGGTGTTCGGCGTACAGCGAGAGATGCGCCAGCGGCCTCCCTCCCCGTCCTTCTCGCGCCCCTGCCTTCCCCCCGTCATCGAGTTCTCGTCTCGACCCGCCCCACAGCAGCAGCAGCAGCAGCAGCAGCTCCCGCCACAAGTCAGAGAGGCGGCAGACACGGCCAGAGCCATGGCCAAGAGGGCGAGCAAGCGGGGATCTGTGAAAGTCAGGGTGGTCAAGAAGGCGTCCGTTCCTGGTAGGCCGGTGGACACGATCGGCTTTGTCTTCGAGGTCACCGGCCTGCAGCACACTCAGTGGGCGGCCAACGCCTCAGACACGGCACTGCAGGCGGCCATGTCAGCTGGGAGGGCCGTCGTGGATTCAGTGGTGGCCTCATCCCAGTGGGCGGAGATCGTTCGTCCGACAGACCCCATAGACCCCGGCAAGAACATGCAGACCTACTTGCGGCGAATCGCAGGTATACATACACGCAGGCGGGCAAGAGAGGCGGGTGCGTGTCAGGGCTTACCTTTCGCTTGTCTCTCTGCGTGTGTGACAGAGTCTGTGGCCGATGAGCAAGCTGCTCGAGACATAGCTGTACCCCACGCACCACCCC